CCCCAAAACCCCAAAACCCCAAAAACCAGTATTAAATTAAAAATAGTTTTTACATGAATTAATGAAATTAAATTGTTAAATAATCATGTGTCTGGTTATGACATAATCTAATTATCTTATTCTTTGTACGAGGATTTTTGTTAAGGACTACTTTAAATTTCAAATCTTACTCTTCTAGAGGCTTGAGTTTGTTGGCGATTCCTGTTAGAGTCATTATTTGATTGTTGATAATGACTGTTTTATGAAGTGACTTGATGCTAAGATTATTACTTTTATTTGATCATCATCTTATTGATTTTGTCGAATTCAAAATCAATATCAAACTTCATTAACTTCATAAATCTTTATTCTGATGATATATTGTCACTTTTATCTGTGCCTGAGACATTTGAGTGTTACCTTTCAAATCTAGAGGTTTCATTCTTTCTCACACCGAATTTAGTAATTCTAGGACTAGTTTTAATATTTTTATCCTGTATAGCCGGGCCAGACTCATCTTCTTCAATTTAAACTAGTCTGAGATTAGTTCTTGCTTGATCATTTTTAACTCTCATAGTTGAAGGACTGCTGTCATATGATATTTTTCATTGAGGTTATTAGTTATTATCACTTTATCCTTAAATTTTATCCTTGTAAAAATCTTAGATAAAATTGTTAGAATTTGTTAAGAACAATCCAATATCAGCATTTCTGTTCTTTATACTGTTTGTATTTGCAATGCTACCTTTTACGTTTAATTGTTCCTTAGATTCAACAATTTATAGAGCTTGATCATAGCTCTAGTTTACATTTATTTTAGAATTGCTTTATATTTTCATTGTATTGGAGAATTAACCATCTTAATTATGTGTTTAATTTTGCTTCGTGTTATTTTTTGTTTAATCTCTAGAAATTTAAAGTTGATATTGAGGTTTAATTAAAGGCTTATTAATCCTTGAAGTTGCTCTAATGTGCAACCTAAATTGCTCCTGCTAATCTTAGAGCACATTCAATGAATCTTAAAAAGTATTATTTTACTCAGGCTTGAGGTTATTTTCAATTTTATTTACATTTCTCTAATTCTACTTAGTTTAGATCAATGATGGATTTTTAATCTACTTTCCCCATTGTTTTTAATTTTAATCTACTGTTTTAATATTTTGTGGACTATTACTATCGCTTTTTGTGCTGATTGCAGTTTTAATATTTTATCTGAGCTCTTTCTTGTAGCTTTTATTTAGATTGCTCTTATACGATTTAAAAAGCATCGATAAGACTCTTTATTAAGACTAAGTCTAATTAAATACCATGCTCCCTCTGTTTCTATTTTTTAAAGAATTTGGATCTCTTCTTCTAGAATTATCCTAAGCAGATTCCTAATTCTCAATTTAAGATAGGTCCTCTGATTTTTAATCTTAAGTATGAGAAATATTGAGATCAGTCTACAAGAGAAGAGCTTAAGAATCAACAGACTAATAAGATTATCTAGCTGGTTCTGTTTTCTTAAAATAATGATGATGCTCACTTAATTCTTGACTTCTATCAATTGAATATTCGTTCCTTGTTCTAATCTTAAGACTGTTTTCTGGATTAGTACCATAAGTTCCATTAGAATTGAGTCCTATTGATTTATGCGAAGTTAATGCTCTCTTAGTAGATTTCTATAAAGATAGCAATTGTCTTTAATTGCGAAGTAGCTCTTTCCGATTTTCCTTAAGTTGCTAAAAAAGAATTTAAGCATCTAGCTTTTTTGAATCAGTATCTTATTATTCCTTCAAAGGAGGTGATACTCTTAGTTTTCTTCAAATTTGTGGTAAGAATGAATCATGTAGCCTATAAACGTCAGAGTTGATTGAAGTCGGATATAATTAATTCTTTTATCCATCATCTTGTTCAAATAAATTATCATTTTCCTCATTAACTATTTTTGGAGAGAACTATCTTAACTAAATCTCTTATGTTTTATTATTTTTAATAGATTGAGAATTTATTTCCATTTTGAGGCTTGGCTTTACTTAATAAAGACTTTGGTTTATGAAATTGAGGTTGACTGATGAAGGAATGAAAGATCTTTGCTATTGTCTGTTAGAGTTCATAATTGAGTTGGAAGAATAATTTCTTAAATGACTACCATGAGTTTGATTTATGAATTTCTGCAGGTTCCTAGTAGTCTGGACTGGTTAAAGATACAACCCTTTGAATTTATTATTGTTTTGCACGTTATACACTCCACTTAAGATAGTGTTTTGACTATGATCGAGTTATTCTTCTCTAGTTGTTTCCATTTACTTATATTATATTTAGAAAAATAAGCTTAATAATTTTATCATCACAATAACTTTAAATAATCAGAGGATTAATTTTAATTACTCTTTTAATGTTGAGATTTAAACAATTCGGGGTTTTGGGGTTTTGGGG